ACAGTGTACTCTGTCCGTCTTCAGGCCCTGGGGGCTGAAGTGGACCACTGTAGGTGGGACCTAGTCCAGTAGACTAGCCCCCAGGCTGGGGCTAAGGCCTAGTCAAGTTATAGTCCAGGTAATTAAGTCTTATAAAGCAAGTCAAGGTAATCAGTTTCAAGTTCGATAACCCATAATATCTCAAAAACTAAAGGACCGATTAACATAAAATAAATTAATTTGAATGGTATCTAAATGAACCCTCAGTTCATTCAAACTTTTAATCTATTGTCTAGTAATGCCTGACCTCAAAACGGAGTACGGCATGTTGGTAGGTCTGCAAATTTTAGCCCTAGATTGGGGGGCCGGAGTGGACTACTGTAGGTGGGACCTAGTCCAGTAGACTAGCCCCCAGGCTGGGGCTAAGGCCTAGTCAAGTTATAGTCCAGGTAATTTGTAAACAACAGAATCTCACCTTGGGCGCCTTGTCCACCATTCCACTGCGTACCCCACATGCGAATAGTTTTATCACCGCTGCAGCTAGTTAGAAGTTTACCACTTGGGCTCCATGAAACGTGCCAAACACGATCCAGATGCCCTGAAAGCGATGCAATGTTTTCTAACTTGCCAAGCACGTTCATGATTCCACGCGCCTTGTGCATATGTGGTGGTAGATACCAGTACAGCATGTAGTTGTACGAGTACACATGTGTACATGTACTTATGTACAGTCGATCTAGCTCGGCACATGCACAGCGCGCCGGCCTTGGGACGGCGCGGCGTTGTGTTCATGCCCCTCACTTAGTTGTGTATTCGCGCATGCGCAATAATGACATAATGGTCGTCGGCCTGAAAAATTACTCTAGCTCGTAGCAGACGACGTATATCGGTGGAGACCAAAGATCGTATGGGGCCGCTTCAGGGTGCAGACCACTAATTCAAATTAGAATTTCTGGCAAGCTAATTAGCGTTAAAAGTGACCCCCCCCCACAGTATCTTTTGAAAAAGGAGATTGTTTGGCCCCCAAAATGGTGAGATTGGGTAAATTGTTGCCGGGATCAATTTCCTGGGTCTTTGAGCTTTCATATGAGAGCAGAAGGTCTAAAAGCTGCGGTTGAAAACTGGTCATACTAAAGTGCCCCAGAAAGTTGAGGGTTGCCACTTGAAAAATGGCAGCAATCAGACTTCGGAAAAATCACTTTTTAGGGGTTGATTTTGTTTTTTGGGAATAATTAAAAATGTAATTGGTTATCCAAAAAAAATTGAAAAGAAATTGAAAGATAAGTGACCAGATGAGAGTTTCATTTGTGTTTCAGAAATCTCAGGGATGCTGGCGTGCATGCTATTGGGTCTGGAACAGTGCTGATTTTACACTGTTTTCAATGGGGTTTGAATTATGGACTGTACCCTTCAACACGATCTTTGGTGGTGACCCATGTGTGGGATTGTACTGCTATTTCCCTTGAAGACCTTGTGTGTGAATAAAGTGCCAAGGGTCTATCAAATGGTGATATGTAATAGCTTCTATTGACGCCAGGAAGAACAAAGGCAGGCATTGTCGGGCAAGCTTTGTTTTCGGCTTGGTAAAATGTCCGCTCGTGCATTCGTTGATCTCTGTAAGCTGATTAAAGGCATTGCGAGTCCAGATTTTTGGCAGTTTACTAAATCTGATCGACTTCAAACTTAGCAGACATTTGAACAATCATCCAAGGACGGTTCTAGAAGAAATTCACAGTGATAACTTAATTAGTTTATTTAGTATTGACTTTTGAATAATTAAATTATTCCCTTAGACTTTGTACACAGATTGCACACAGTTTTCGGACTGTCCTATATCAGGCTATGAGAGCACTATTGTGGAATTACTGTTACACCTGCCTGGGGTTTCAATTTTCAACAAACTGTCCTATACTGAACCATAGATGGCATTGTTTCCACAACATAGGGGTGCACTGAACTAATTCAAGCTCCATTGAAAATAGAGTAAAATCAACCAAGTTTGGAGCCCCAT